TATGGGTTGCAATTTTGTCGGGCACAATTTTGAATTTAACAACTGACTGCCTTTCAGTTCATGAGTGTGAACTGAACTAAACTGAATTGACTATATCACATATAAATGATGAAATTTGAATCAGAATGACAAGAAAAGAAAATGTACTTAAATACAATTCAAAGAAATTCACACAACAGAGGAGTTTCATTAGTCATCAGGTTTTGCAGAAAATAATTCATTATGTTAATAATAAATGGTTAATTTTAACTGAAACACACATACACACACATATAATTTCTCTAGGTGGTATTTTATTACTCCAATATAATCTACTGTTTCTGGAAATACCAAAATACCTCATATGTTGTGTTTGACATGTTTATGGCAATTCCTACTGAAAAATTATCATTTTTTACTAAAACTATAACTAGTTGTTATACAAGTTTCATTCTACTTCCTTAAATTCAACTTTTAACCACAATTCTGCATTCTGGTTGCTACCCCAGTTCAGTTTCGGCACTATAAATGTCATTTTAAAGACATTCCCAATTCAATGGTGAATGGTGCATATCCTTGATGGACTGGCAAATGTGTATAATAAAACCCATTTAACATCTAAATCAATTGTAAATGCAGATATAGTGGCTCATGTGTTCTTTGTGATGTGTGCCTGATGCAGTAAGGTTTTTTAAAAAAGTATCAGTGCAGTGTTTGTCTCTTTAAAGACTTAGAATTGGACAAAGTGGCATCAGCTTTAAGTGTGCCATCTAGCAGTTACAAACTATTAACTCTCCCCGCTCTTCTATTTGCTCTGGTTGCTAAGCGATGCTGGAAATAGTTTATTACCCAATGCAGTTCCACCTCCATCAGTTTTCTACTGGGAACTGTAGACACACACACACACACACACACACATAGATCAATATGACCCCTAGGGAAGGTTAGGGACAGTATTTTGCATTTACAGTAAAATCTGTGCTTGGGTGAAAACCCATTTAAAACCGTTCTGATAACTGCACAAAGCAATAATAACAGAAATATGAATCGATGAGCAGCGGAGAAGAGGTGTGTTGACCATGTGACCACTTCATTTTAAATGGGCTTCTTAAATGCTGATACGGGCAGAAAAAAATCCACCAGCTTGCTCCACACGAGATAAGGGAGGTGGAACAGCCATTGATCGAAGCTAATGATTTTCACATTAAACTGGAGGAAAGGACAGAGACAAAGAGTCCGAGAGAGAGCGAGGCCGGGGGAAATGTTTCTTCCTCTTCTAATCCTACTGTAGAAATGACATGTGAAGATAAAGTTTCCAGCAGGAGTGTTCTACAGTGCTCCGTTAGTTAGCCAACAACTCAGGCTCAGTAGGTAAAACCAAATACTTTACATTGATATTGATCTGAATACACAGTAAATAGTTCAAATGTGCAATTAAGGAGCTATTTCAACCTGTCTGGACCTGTGAAAAGGACTACTTGGTTTAACA